GGAGTAGTGTTTGGAGGTAGGGCGGGTCTGGTGATATGTGAACAGGTTATTGAGATTGGCTGTTTTGCGTCGGGTCCAGGGTTGTTGGGGCAACGGGAGCGGAGCCAGCACAAGCAGGCTGACACAGAAGGCATCAGAATTGCTAATGAGTGCATCATGCTTTAATAAAGTGATATTCTGAGATCAAAAGCGATGGTCTACTGTTTAATAAGATAGCGGGGAAGGCAGCATGTTGCCTGTTGAGCGTTGTTGCACTAAACATTATATTTTGTACTTATTCTCTTTTATCATTTTAGATGTTAGTTTGAATCAAATCATTTGGTTTGTTATGCGTACCGGACCTAAAGTCTCGTACCGAACGGTTCAATACGAATATGCGTATCGTTACACTCTTAATATATAGAGTATAGTATGAATATATAAAGTCAGAATTATTAGCCTCGCTTTGAATTTGTTTTTCCTTTTTAAATATTTCTCAAATTCTGTTTAACAGAGCAAGGAAATGTTTACAGTATGTCTGATAATATTTTTTTCTTTTGGAGAAAGTCTTATTTGTTTTATTCCGGATAGAATAAAGGCTGTTTTTAATTTTTTAAAACCCATTTTAATTAAAAAATGTTTTAAGTCAAAAATTTTTAAGGAATTATTCAGTTATATTAAGTAAAGGAAACCGTTAAGTGTTTCAGGACATAAGAGCATAGGTCACCGTCACTTTACCTCAGCTGATTCCGGCTGATTAGCCCCTGAACTCGGCATATCTATACAGGCTTTACACAGTCTTTTGGAATTATTTCTTAAAATTATCAGATGATATGGTACAACCATCTGAAGCGTTGTCATACAGTGTTATGCCTGGATTTTATAAAAAATCTTGCATTTGGAGCTATGAGGCCAAATGTCTAGGCCAGGGGTGGGTAAACTCGGTCCTGGAGGGTCAGTGTCCTGCACAGTTTAGCTCCAACTCTAATCAAACACTTTTCACCCATAGGAAAGTCGGTCTAAGCAAAATCTTTAAAGTCTGTAGCTCTGCTCACGCTCCGCCTCTTTGCCCTTGTTCAGTATACCTGGGTTGGTGCGATGACTCACAAACAAAATGGCGACGTTTGGCCATGCCCACCGGTAGCTTCTTTTGGGTTCTTCATAAACCTATGGGTGACCACCATATCTTTTACAGTCCCTCTTAATAGAGCGATTGGACCCGCTAAACAAGCGGATTGGATAGTTGTTGAGCGCAACAAAATATATATTTTATTACGACACTGCTGTGTTGAGCCTAAAAAAGTGGACACGTAATTTATAAAGTTTTATGTCTTTCTGTTGAATTAATATTTGTATTATCTCCAAAATAAAGACAGAAAGAAAGAAAGAAAAGAAGAAGCCTAGCCGCTCACAGCATCTACAGAGCTGTCAAGAGAGTGCTCTTTCGCCCAGTCTCTCACACAAACGTGCATCTAAACCTTTACAGTCTATGATCTAATCACACGTTTCATGCACAACCACATCTTTTAAACTTGACAAAAAACTCTTAATTACTGTAAGTTACTCGCTCTACCATACAGGCCTGATTGCACAAATGGTTGTCCTTCTGTAAAGTTCTCCTCTCTCCACAGAAGAATGCTGTAGCTCAGACAGGGTGACCATGGGTTAATTGATCACCTCCCTGACTAAGGCCCTTCTCCCCCAATCACTCAGCTTACATAGCCGGCAAGCTCTTGGAAGAGTCCTGGAGCCTCATGTATCAATGTTGCGTATGCACAAAAAAATTGTGTACACCTGATTTCACGCTTATGTTTGGATTTACTAACGTTGAAATAAACATGAGAATGTGCGTTGGTCCATGCCAACTTCATGCCTGGTGTACTTGCATTTCTTGTGTGTTTGTTTTATTTCCATTGGCGACTCCTAGAGGCAATTATGTTAAATTGCACACTACAAAGTATCTTTGAGCCGTACAAAGGCAGCTGTATGGGATGGGATCATCCGCATGTCTAGCAGGTATATAAGGTTTGCATACCATGCAGTTTACCAGCCAAACATTAAAGCGCAGTTTGCAGCGATCGCCGGTTTTCCAATCGGAGCGATTGACTGCACATAAATTGCTATAAAGGTTCCATCTGAAGAATTTGCATACATGAATCGGAAACATTTCCATTCAATAAATGTGCAAATAATATGTGATGCTCAAATGCGCTTAACACAATACACACTTATTAATGATTCCTACTTCTCTTCCTTGTGATGAATAGTAGGCAAAATCTGATATGTAGTGGGGGAGAGAGGAATGAATTCATCAGACGCTGGATTCGAACCAGGATCATGATTGATTGTGTCAAAACATGTTGACATGCGCTTTACGAGCTACGCTTCTCACACTGCTGTTTGCTACTCTCTTTAGTTACCTTTGTCTCTGTCAATCAAACGATGATGGGCGGGAATCACTCAACTAGCTCATTCCAACGAGGTGTGTTAATTGCATTTAGCCTATATAGACACAACAAAATTTTACACCTTTACATCCGACCATTTCTTTCTAATTCACTCACAGAGCGATGTTTAGACCTCACTGAGTTAACCGCGTCAGCTAAACTTCTCCCATTCTATTTTCTTCTTTTGTTATTAATTTCGGAGGACAAACATGCAAATGACACTGTTTTTTTCCATTCTACCTCCGAAAGGGGCACCTATTAATTCACATTCTGTTCTAAGTTTCACTTTTTGCTTGCTTTTGCCATTGCTTTTTCATTTGGTTTTGCCAAGGTAGAGTCATTACCATATTTATTAGGGAGAGGAGGCAGGGAGGGGTTATGCGCTCGTGCATGTGCGCTCAGTTTCACGTTAATTTAGACGTACAAAGAGATTATGCGTGGGATTCTACGTACGCAGTGTTTTATACAGCTGAATTTTTATGTATGCACATTTACAGATTTTTAGTATGAATTCAACGCAAGTCTATGTACATGAGGGCCCTGGTGATCCCAAATATCTTCCACTTACAGATGATGGTGGCCACTGTGCTCATTGGAACTTTCAGAGCAGCAGAAATTTTTCTGTAACCTTCCCCAGCCCTGTGCCTAGAGACAATCCTATCTCGGAGGTCTACAAACTGAAGGATTCGGATTTCTGCTTTCCAATCCGTCTCATCATGGACCAACGTTTATCCTTTTCATCATCCTGTTTCTCAGTATTTAACTGTGAATTGATTTTAAATTAATGAATAAGTTAACACATTGCTTAATAAAAGAATGTTCAGTGCATTTGCCTGTCTCCTTATAACTATTTTCAAAAGAAACCAATAGGTCAGAGGTCACGGAGACCTTGAGTGGAACTGAGGGCTGAGGACTGGAAACAACAGTTTCTACTGTTATTTCTACGAGTTAATATTATCTAAAATGTCTAAAGTGATTTTGCTATTTTTACTGTTAATTCTTTTAAAGTGATTCTACTTTTTATTCAAGATTTTTAAATTTTTCTAGTCTGTGTTTTAACCAATCAGGTTAGAACACCTATATGTATGACGCAGTTAATGACGTTATGTGAGAGTATAATTGTAATGATTGGTGATTGTAAGCAGAGCGGCCTAGAAACTTATTGCGAGTGTTGAAGCTGGCTTCTGCGAATGAAACTGCAAACTATCTTCAGTAAACTTGATTTATTTATTTAAATATCTGACTCCGGCTCTTCTTCATCTACCAGACTGGTCATTCTTTGGGTTAAACTGTAAACTATCCCTCAAAAACCATTCCTTTGTCTTCATGGTTGGTTTGTGCGTTGACATGCACTGTCAACTCTGGGACCTTATATAGACAGGTGTATGCCTTTCAAATCATGTCCAATCAAATGAACTGACCACAGGTGAATGATCAGTGGAAACAGAATGTACCTAAGCTCAATTTAGAGCTTCATGGAAAAAGCTGTGAATACTTATGTTTTTTTTTTTCAGGTTTTATATTTTTAATAATTTTGCAGCCATTTAATTTTTTTTTCACATTGTCATTATGAAGTATTGTGTGTAAAATTGAAATAAACTTAATCCATTTTGGAATAAAGCTGTAACATAAAAAAATGTGGAAAAAGCGCTATGAATACTTTCCGGATGCAGTGTATATCATTCCAACCCTTTAGACGAGGTGCCCATCTCTTCACTCTTCTCATCTCTTCACACTTCTGTAATGTGCTGCTACACAGCTGTTGCAAAACATACATCCTTAAAATGCATCTATTCCACAAGTTTTCATTAATCAGTTTTAAGAAGTAGAGGTGTAAGTATTGTCCCACTATAACTCTTTAAGACCATAAATCATACCTGAACACTCTGCTACATCTAACAATTGCTTCGTTGTGACATTCGCATGATATTTTCTTGGTTTTGTAATTAATATCTATATTCTTAATTGTTCTTACCCTTGTCATTGTTTATATATTTTTTTTTTATTATATTATTTTTGTTTCTCTCTATATATACTATATAGAACTTAACAAAAATAATAATAAACTGTTAACATTCCTAACTCCACCATGTCTGATGCCTATCCATGTACTCTGAGCAGGGCACAAACCAGCAATACCGGCATGGGAGACAAATGCTCTAACAAGGAGGCTAAAGCCCGCAGACTGCAGTCTGTTGCTGTTGCTAATTTTCTTTTGAAGGTTTCATCGGGTCCAGAAATGCTCATGAAAACACAATCTGACTGAGACGTATTTTAATCGAAATGGAAGGGGTAATATCAGATTGAAAGGGGTAATGATCTAAAATAAACTGAAATTCAACAGTGAATTTTATACTCCACTGAAGCGAAGCAGTTTTTATAACTATGACTACATCAGCATTACACTACTCTCGTGCCTGCTGAATAGCTGGAATGTCCAGTTTGAAATGTTATAAATTTGTATGTTTTTTCTTTATCTATGTAAAAAGCTGCTTCAGCAATTTATATTGTAAAAAGAGAAATAAACAGTTTTATAAAAAAAATATAAAAATCTCCGCAAAAACTAATGAAACGTTTTTCTTTAAGTCTTTATTACAACTTTATTTTGTGTAGAGTTTATAAAGAAGCACAGTCCATACCTTTTTAACATACATTTAACATTCAACACTGGAAAAAAAAAATCACAATACAGAACATTTTGGCTGAGAAAACAGAGTTTCTAAAGTTCCTTCACAAAGTTCCTGCGCACAATTTCCTGTAAAAAAAAAAAAAACAGAGAATTTTATTATTATTACTTTATTATAAAAATTATTCTGATTTGTGTGATTATTCGTTGCATGATTCATTTAGTCTACCATATTATAAAATGGAATAAATTTAACTCAATTAGTCTTACTTTGTCTCTTCCACTGTAACATCAACGTATTTGCAGATCTTTAAATCTCGTTCAAGAATTTGTCGTTTTAGACCCTCAATCTCCTCCTCTGCTTTCTTCCTCTCAGCCTCTTGGCCTTCTGGAGATAAAAAAATGGGTAGAGTCGGGATAAATTAATGGCATTAAAATAGCTACAACCCCTTTTGACACCAGAACACCATTAAGACACAGAACAGCAAATCATCCTCCTTGGTCAATAATTACTCCATTATACCGCTTCAGTTCTCACCCCATCCAACAGGTTGAAAACCCCTGTTCTAACCCATAATTCTAGTAAACTCATATTTACCCTTTAGTTTCTGAAGTGCATCTTTTGCATCACTGCTCTGCTTCTCCAATTTACCCTGAAAGTGAGAGAGCGGGAGAGAGACAAAGAGAAAAGTGGGGGAGATGAAGTAATGAAATACAACACTTTAGTAAATTTATTACAATTTTATTTTAATAAATTATTATAATTTAGTTTTATTTTTACATAAAAGAATGCAATCTCAGCCATTACTCCAGTTTTCTGTGTAACATTAGCTGTCAGAAACTGTTCTAATATGATGCTAAAGTTGTTGTCCTCTTTCAGCTGTATCTCAGAATCTCAGAATTATAAAACAAAAAAGCTACATAATAGGTGTGGAGCACTGTGAGCAGAAGAAAGGAGTGGGTGTAGCCGGTAAAGAAGGAAAAAAAAAAGAGGGGAGCAAACTGTCAGTTGGCTTACCAACTTAAACTATAAACAAATCAGACACAAAATGTAATAAGGGACATGATTTTAAACTTGGCAAATTTAAAATGCAATGAAATAAACAGTCTGTCCTTTTAAAAGTAATTTAATGCCCTGTTACATATTACATCTGTTGTAATAGAAACATACTCTTTTATATATATGTGTGTGTGCATGTGTGTGTGTGTGTGTATATATATATATATATATATATATATATATATATATATATATATATATATATATATATATACACATACACACACACACACACACACTTAAAGTCGGAATTATTAGCCCTCGTTTATTTTTTTAATTCTAAGTTAATTCTTTTTAACGGAAAGAAGATTTCTTCAACACATTTCTAAACATAATAGTTTTAATAACTCATTTCTTATTACTGATTTATTTTATCTCTGCCTTGATGACATTAAATAATATTTTACTAGATATTTTTCAAGACACTTCTATACAGCTTAAGTGACATTTAAATGCTAAATTAGGTTAACTAGGCAGGTTAGGGTAATTAGGCAAGATATTCATTCGGCAAGATATTGTATAATAATGGTTTGTTCTGTAGACTATCAAAAATAAATAGCTAGGGCTAATAATTTTAACCTTAAAATGGTTTTAAAAAATTTAAAACTGCTTTTATTCTTGCCAAAATAAAATAAGACTTTCTCCAGAAGAAAAATATTATAGGACATAATGTAAAAATTCTTGCTCCTTGCTCTGTTAAACATCATTTGGGAAATATATATAAAAAAAAGAAAAAAAATCAAAAGAGGGCTAATGATTCTGCCTTCAACTGTATATGTAAATAAAACCACATTTTTATAATCTCATTACACACACACACACACACACACACACACACACACACACACACACAAAAACCTTTTGTAACCAATATGTATGTTCCCACAGAGTACTCGTAATAAATATAGACAGTGACACAGACACTTGTAGGCCTAGTGAAGGGAATATGTAGGGGTTTGCTGAGGGGGAGGACAACTCTCCTCATGAATCCCCAGTTCTGAATGCAGCCACAGTGGAAAACAGTGCAGCAGATCTCTACCAGTAATCTGGAAGATTTAAAAAAATGGACGAACAGAGGGCAGCACGGATGAGCAATGTGTCAGAATGGTAACAAACAGATACAAGTTATTCTCATAGCCTTCTTAATAAAAACGCTTGCAACACAAGAACAGCTTGATTGTATAAGCATGCTGAGTCAAATTTGTGTGAATATTTGCATATGATTAAAGTAGTTTACCACCTCAGTTTGCCATTTCATAACAAAATAGTGTGAAAATCTAAGATCAACAAAAACAAACTGTCCAATTGGCATGCAGTCAAACCTCAAAATTAAATACAGTTACACACTCATAACTAAAAAACTGGCCATGTAATGCGGAAACATAACCATAATGTAAAATTAAGCTAATATTTTGGTTTTTTAATGTCTGTTAATAAATGGTGTTAAATGTTGATGGTTTTGATTTACCAAATAGAAAATTTGAATTAATTCCGAAGGATTGTAATTGTGTAACACAGAAGATTGCGGTAATGCCTTAAAATGTGTAATGACCTAATTTCACATGAATAAATTGCATTTTCAATCATATAAAAAAAAAACTGCTTATTTAAAGGGGTCCCATTTTGCTAACTAATAAATGGTTGATTGTTTTTTCTTTTCAGGTATACTAGCACATTTATTCATGGTTGATGGTTTGAAAGATGTTCTTTTTTGAATAATTTACATTACTACAATACCTTTCTCCCCAGCCTGGCACATAACGGCATGGCTTGATCCAGAGTTGATAAAGGCCAGCATTTCGAAAAAATGAAACGTGTTGCGATTGGCTAGCGGTGTTACTGCGTTATGATTGGTGAACAGCTTAGTCACTTTAGTGTGTTATGCAATTAGCTGATGTAGTTTGATGATTACACTACGCTATGTAGTTAGTGTACATGCTGGAAATCCAACAGCTGTAATCTCCAATGCAGTGCAGCTAATCAACCTTCATAGATCAATTAATTTGATCATTACTAAGATGTTTAAACAACAAAATGTGTTTTACACATTTAAGAATCAGAATATCAAATATCTCACAATGTAATCAACTCGAGCTGAGAATATTAGTCTACAGTATCACACAGAACCTTTGCATGTACTGACATCGCAAGACATATAAGGGGCTTTGCCCCTCCCCACCCCTCAAAAATGTGCATTTCTATAGGTGGAATTTGGGATTATTTTACTGACATCAGTAAAACCCCAGGAACTAGTAATCCATTGAGCCACTCATTGTAGTTCTTGAAAATAATTTAGCTTCAGAACTAAATATCTATTTTTCGGGTGGATTTTTTTTTTTTTTTTTATGCCCAAACATATACTCCACACTGACTAACACATTCAAAACGTAAAAAAGCATAATATAAACCCATTTAAGTTCATAACATTGCACTTTTCAGTCTATTTTGTTTTAATGTAGTATTTTAAAATAACTCTTAGACACTTAACACTTTTGAACAGCATTGGAAACAACATGCCAGCACACCAGAGATAATTAACTCATCTTAAAAATGTAATGCCATCTACAGTATCCTCATATCAGAGATAAAAGAACAAAAACAAGCAGATGATAGTGAGGGCAAAGAAAAAAAAATTATAGATGAATTGTTACAATACTGAGGCTGAATGAATCAGCCATCCATTAACTCTCACAGAATGTACAACGGCAGAGTGTTGAAAGAAAGAAAAACAACTGTGGAGTGCAATTACTTTAAGATTATTTACGTTACCTTGTCAGCTTGGCAGGTTCCTAGTTCCTTTTCAGATTCAGCAGTGCCTTTCTTAATCTCATCCCTCTGTTTTTTGAGTTGATCCCTCTGTGTAGTCAGAGGACTGAGCTTCTTGTTCATCTCTTCTACTTTTGTCTTAGCTGACATGATGCCATCTTCCTTCAACTTCACCTGTTCGCCAGAAACAATGATGCGTGCTTTCAGGTTGCGGATGTTGAGCTCCTGCTGTACAGCTTGATAGATTATAATCAGCAGTGCACATAAAGCCAGGAAAACCATTGCAGATATGGCTCTCATCCTGAGGTAATAAAAGTAAGAAGAGTGAGGAAGAGAAAACCAAAAGTGTTTCTCAGAGAAAAAAATTATTTTAATTTCTCTTTCTTTTTCACTTAGTTCTAATGACGGTGTCTATGCTGTTGACCTAAACTGATTCAACTACCTACTCTTCCTGAAAAGATTATGCTTAGAGCCAGAGCCAGGTAAGCCTGCCATACCTGTACAACTGGATTTTTAAGTTTAACCAAACCAGTGTGTGGGAGGGAAGAAAAAAAAACTCAACACTTCCTTGATACTGTTGCTGTGATCCTTGACCAACTTTACAGCCTCTCCACCCACTTCTGTTTTAGCGCAGCAACATAGAAAAACAATATAATGCTCATAACATTAGCATGGTTTGTTTAACTGTTTGCGCTAATCAAACAAAATAACAGTACAGTCCAACCTTATATTTCAATAAGACCACAAAAAAGGGGAATTATGCATTACAGGCGAGGCATTTTTAAGCTGCAAAATTCGTGAATCATTACAAGGTGGTTAAACAGGATGGACCAGGATCCTCTTATTTGCATGTCTAAACCAACACGTCTTTAAACTGCGTGTCGTTAGGGTATGGAAACTCGTTTTTGCTAAGCCATGTTTCACATTGGCTCACCTGTTCCGTTGAGGTTTCATTACTCTACTGTGAAGATTTGACTCGCCAGACGTGAAAATTATTTTGTCTTTCATTGCACTGTTTTTAAATTTCAAGCGTGGCTAAATCTAAATATTCAAAATTTCCTAAATATATGCCAGCATAATCAACGGAGTGCACACAAGACGTGGTCTATACACCGGTTTAACTTCTGAACCAGACTGCATGAATGGTCTTTAACGCACGGCGACCGAATCATTTAACAGGGAATCGTTTTGGTCAGATCCGAATCATAAGCTGCGAAATGATTGACAGCCGTTAGGCTAGTTTATATATATATATATATATATATATATATATATATATATATATATATATATATATATATATATATATATATATATATATATATATAACATATATTTAAATATGCTAAGAATTAATTCTGAGGTCTCCTTATATTTTTGCTTCAGACTAACGTTAGTGAAAATACAACAACTGTTAAACATTCCTACATTTCATGAGCTAAATTTAGCTGTGCGATTCTTAAAACGAACGATTCAAAAGAACTGATTCATGGAAATGATTCGGCCTTACGTCTGAAGATGTAGACGTCATCTCTAATGTAGTCAAAGAGCTTAGAATGACCAAGAGGCGACACTCCATTTCGACAGCAGCGCCCAGCAACAGCCCTGGATTCCGCCTTTTTGGAGTGAAAATGATCGGCCGTCCATTGGATCTCATTACTGTCGCGATGGCAAGCAGCTGCTTTGTCTTTTATTTATTTATTTAAAAAGCGCATTAAAGCTGAGATATAACCTGAAAGAGGACAATACAACATTTACTATCACAATCATCAGCACTTTTAATAGTTTATTTTACAGACTTATATTATGCTGTTGTTCTAATGGAGTTTTCATTCCAAAATGGCCGCCGCGCCCTCTAGTGGCTGTTTACAAAATTACACTAGAGTGTCGCCTCTTGGTCATTCTAAGCTTTTTGATGATTTTGCAAGGTGGGAGTGGCTTTTCACAGGTGGTTATGTTACCTGTAGCGTCATCGCCACTCTTTCCTAGCACTGCTTCTGTGAACAGGGAAATAGAGTTTAAAAAACACAGCAAACCTGGAATAAAGCGAATTTAGTGGTATAAGGAATTACACAGTCTTGATCAACTGACAAAATAGTTAAAAATCTATTGCTGTTAATACCAGAGATAATTAACAGCGTTTGCTTTACAATTATGCCGTTTTGTGGGTAGGCATAGTTTCTGCAACAAGTAACTCTGATCATCTGGACACCTGCATGAGAGAAACAGATTCTGAATCCCAGCTACCTCTTGATTCCTCAACCATGAAGTTTCCTGCCTTGCTTTTGGGATTTGTCCTGGTGTGTAGTCTGGGCATTGCTGGCTACATCCATACCAGGCGTAAGCAGGAACTGCAACTGAGCAAACAGGCATCATTTATAGATATTAAATTCAGAGTGACCAGAGATGTGCTTGGAGAATATCAAGATCAGTTGATTCAGTTCAGCACACAAATGGACAAGACTAAGACAGAGGTGGACAATCTAACCAAAGACCTGGACCAAGCAAAGACATCAGTAAATAAGAAAAAGGCTGACATTGACAACTGTAAAGGAGACAAGGTGAGTTGAATGTGTAAGCTGTATTTTATTATTTCAATTTATTTTATTAAGATTGTTACAATGTCTTTTTTTTTTTTTGATTGCATAGAAAAAATGTCTCTGAAATGTAGGTCTGTAACATGGTCTTTAATTTTTTTTTCTTCAGAAACGATTGACTGATGAAATAGCAGCTGCAGTGTCAGAGGAAAAGCATAAACAGGGTGAGTTTCCATGTATTACATCTGTATTTTATTTATTTTCTTAAACGGGAATACAATGTGTGTGTGTTTTTTTTTTTAAAGATTGAACCAAGAGAATTATGGAGTTCACCTTGCATTATCTCAGATTAATTTATTGCAAAGCACATGGCAAATACTGCCCACATGAGGCAATAAATGCAAGCCAGAAATTATTGGATAATAGCAAACTTATTCTGTATATTATTTGTCTTTGAATATTGAATTTGCACAAAAGCACTGAACACTGACATTAATGTACACTTTGCATTTTTTAATTTTTTTCAAACATAATAGATTTAATCAATTATATTATATTATTTGTTTAAATGTATTATGTGTGTGTAGATTTGAGAAAACCACATTGTATTTTGCACTATTCCGTAACCATTAATAATAATTTCAAAGCTTAAAATATTGTGTTCAAAGTTTATGTAACCTTTTTTGTATTTCCCAGATGAGTTTGTGAAAGTGAAGTCTCAATGGACAACAGAAATTGATTCCCTACATAAGCAATTGGAGCAGGATAGCACACTTTGCAAGTACATTGACAAGGCGTCTGAAGAGGGAAAGTGAGTGAATTTGTTTAATAAAATAATTTGATATTGTACTCTTAGTATGTCAAGTTAGTTGTGGTTAAATTGTTGCTGAAAGTGTCAATCGTTTTTTAACGGCCATTCTCTGCAGTGTTATATGTAAAGGTGAAAGGTCAGGGGTTAAAGCATTGTTCAGGCTGGATATAATACTGTATTTGATTTGAATTTTTTTTTATAGCATTTTAGGTTATGTATTTAAAGGAGTTTAGATTAAAATAAGATATTTAAAGCATTTTATTAAAATACAAATACATAAGAAAATAATAAAAAAGTGCAAAATTGTATTAACATTGCTATTCAATACTTTTTCAAAGGAAACTGTGTAAAATAAAAGACCCTCAAAATGCAGAGCCAAAGCCTAAAGGACCAGAGGCAGAAAATCCTAAGGCAGAGGAAGCGAAAGCTGCACCAAAAGTGGACGAACCCAAAGCTGCAATACCAGTGGAACCCAAAGTTGATCAGCCAAAACCTGATGAAAATCCAAATGTTGCTGTGGAGTAAAAAAATAATAAATAAATATATAAGTTAAAGGAGCATATATTGTTTTTTCAGGGATTTAAAGAACAATACTACATCAGCGTCTACTGGACAATTATATAGGAAGATTAACTAAACTGGAACATCTTGCTTGGGTTGATCTTCAGCATTCCGGTTTTTCACCTGAGCACACCCAAACTTTGATCTGAGGTTTGACTGATGACATCACATCATACACCTGTTTTTTTTCCTGACAAATAAATATTTATGAGGAAATTGTCTGCTTTACCCACAATTAAATTATGAAAATGAAAAGAAACTGTTTTTCTATAAAAAAAATTTTTGTTAAGGAAAAATCTGTCAGGTGTCTTTTCTTTCATTTGTGTTTGTTATTTTATAATTTTGTTCTTTTTTGTCCATTACAGTGACATTTTAACCCTCCCTTAGGCTCACGCATACATTCCCTTTTTGTATCGACCAATGCAAAAGCTTTGACCCTCTTACTGTCACTCCTAATCATCCTCACTCTGTTGCTTCAGTTATTGACAAAAACAAGTGCAACCAATCAGATGCTTCACTGGGATGGAACACAGAAATTCTAAGAGTTATTTACTCTTCAGCCTCCTTTATGTTAGTTTCAGTTTTTGCAGGAAATACCTTGATGTTAAAATGAAGTTAGACATTGGTTGGACACTTTTTATTGTTTTCTTCAATAATTAAATATGTAAATAAATAATTAAATGTTTATTTTCCAGTAAATGCTTGCAGTCATTTTAATTTATTTAAATCTTAAAAACTGTGTCTTGTCAACTAGTTTTGTCATTTTTTTGCACTAGTTTCATTGATATGTAAAAGTAATGTTTTATTTAGACATCTTACAATTTACAGCTGACTTAAAAATTTTTAATAGGTTAATTACCACATAAAATTAATACATAAAAGTAAAAATTGTTTTACAAATATGCCACAGGATTTAATTATTGATAGCTAATCATTAGAACCATCCATGGTGAAGGAAACCTTAATGGGGTAGTTCACCCTAAATGAAAATGTACATTTACAGTAACATTTACTCACCCTCGTGTGGTTTCAGATTTATTGGGCTTTTTTTTTTTTTAGCTAATAGGATCTTTTTAAGAGCAAACAAATGTAACAATTTTAAACTTAGCCATTTTTTTTATCAGAAAAAAAGGCCAAATATATCTGACAATTCACATATACTGGCAAAAAAACTTTAACATTTTTTTTTATTTGTTTGACTCATTCCTTCTTAAAAAAATTATAAGCCCTCCTGTGAAAATAATTATTTTTTAAAATATTTTCAGAGGGATGTTTAAGAGAGAGTTTTTTTCAAGATATATTTGGTTTGAATTTATTTGTAATAACTAATTAATTTTGTCTTAAATAAATATAAATAGACGATAAAATAAATACTTCGCGATATATAAATATTAGAGATGGCAAAAGTACACGCATCCTTTACTCAAGCAGAAGTACTCATGTTTAAAATGACTCTGGTAAACATTGCAGTGCTGACTTGTACTTCAACGTTTATGTAAAAGTAATTTGTAAAAGTACAGAAGTACGGCCTAAAATGTACTTAAGTAAAAATTAGTCATCACCCGTGGGTGTAAAGTAACTAAAAATACTCAAATTACTTTTATAGTTTTTCTTAGAAATTGTAACTTACTAAGTAGTTTTAAAATGTGTACTTTTACTTACCCTTAAGTACTTTATAAGTGCAGAATTGGTAATTTTACTCCACTACTTTCCTTCAACCTGCTGTCACTTTTTATTTTTTTCTTGTCGATGGGCATTAGAAAAATCAGTCCTGAGATTCCCGTCTAATCAAATTGCAGCATAATAAACTACCTTAAGACATAGGCGATTTACAGTATAGTTGCATCAAACTGTTTGGAAGCATTAAAAGTGTCCAAAAAGATCCAAAATCTTTACACACATTGATCTCATTGATTAGAAGATATTTACTGTATGATGACCAAAATGGCCTTATACATTTAGCAGGCACAAAACGTCAGCATAATGTCAGATTAACATTTTACCCCAAGATCGTGTTGACGTTGTATTTTGTTTGGAAATGAATGTAAGGCTGACATCAATGTCCAATGCCCAACCTAAAATGAACCAAATATCAACGTCTAATGATGTTACATGTTGACGTTGTGTGGACGTTACCTATAAGATGTCTGTCAGATGTTGGATTTTGGTTGCTATATATACCTGATGAATAAATGTCAGTATTTGACGTCATGGGGTGGTTAAAGATGTTGGCTTGACGTTGAATTTCTAACACAACCTAAAATGAATCAAATATCAAAATCATTTGACGTTGTTGTTGGACATAAAAACGTTGTCCTTAAACGCTGGCTAGACATTGAATTTTGGTCATCCAACATCACACCCTAAATCTATCTTAATATTAAAGTCTTAGGTCATTGTGCGGCTGCTGGGCAAAAACTAAATGCACTACATAATGTTACGTTTACACACATTCACAAATTATATGTAAACACATTAGCTTTCGACAGCGTAATATTCACGACTCGCTACTCTTGAGTACTTTTGAAAGGTCTATTTTTACTCATACTTTGAGTAATATTTACAACAGATACTTTGACCCTACTTGCACAACATTTTTAAGCAAGTAATAGAACTTTTACTTGAGTAGGATCTTTCAGTACTTTTTCACCACTTGCCATTACTACTACCTATTTTAGTTTGACAGTGGTAACTACCCTGCACATCATGGACACATCAATAAGAAACAACGTCCATTTCAAATTGTTTTTTTGTTTTTGTTTTTTTTTGTAAAGATTGTTGCCAATTTTCAGCTGCAAAGTAGCCAAGCAACATCACTCTACAATATTGTCCAACAACAATTGTTTTGTTTGTTTTCAGAGTATTGTGTATTGTCTGTAGTGTATGAGTGCGTATGGGTGTTTCCCAGTAATGGGTTGAAGCTGCAAGGGCATCCGCTGTGTAAAACATTTATAATTAATAAAGGGACCAAGTTGAAAAGAAAATAATTCCATGTCAACAGCTCATTTAGAAATATTATTTCCATGTGTGTGTGTGTGTGTGTATGTTTGTGTGTGTATATATATATATATATATATATATATATATATATATATATATATATATATATATATAAAATTAATGGCTTCGTATCTGTTCTTATGTTTCTGTGTTCATGTGTATCTCACTCTCTTTTAGCTTTGTTTTTTCACTTTATCTTTCACATTCTCTCTCTCTCTGTGTTCTCTCTATGTTACCCCTCAGGCTCACAATTAGGGGAAACAATTAGTGTCTCTCTTCCGCCTCATGTCTTTCAGAAGGTCATCATGTATCGCTGTACTCAGACTCAGAGGGAGGGGGCAATAAGCTGCTTCATTTCTGATTCTCTGATTCTCTGATGACCCAATATTATTTTGAGCTTGTCTTATATAACCTATTAAATGTGTTTAATGTGAAATTTAAGCAATGGAAAAACAAAAAATCAAAACCAATATTGTAGTGCTGCTTCAGAACGGATGGTAACAATGACTTTTATATCAGTGCTTAGGAAAAACACTTGTTCATGAACTATATGAAAAAAAAAAAAAAAAAAAAAAAATATATATATATATATATATATATATATATATATATATATATATATATATATATATATATATATATATATATATATATATATATACACATACATACATACATATAGTTGAAGTCGTAATAATTAGCCCTCCTTTGAATTTTTTTTTTTTATTATTTTAAATATTTCACAAATTATGTTTAACAGAGCAAGGACATTTTCACAGTATGTCTATTAAAATTTTTTCTTCTGGAGAAAGTTTTATTTGTTTCATTTCGGCTAGAATACAAGCAGTTTTAAAAACCATTTTCAGGTCAAAATTAATAGCCCCTTTTAGCTATTTCCCCCCTAGTCTATAGAACAAACCATCATTATACAATAACTTGCCTAATTACCGTAATTCATTTAATTAACCTAGTTAAGCCTTAATGTCACTTTAAGCTGTACAAAAGTGTCTTGAAAAATATCTAGTAAAATATTTTTACTGTCATCATAGCAAAGATAAAATAAATAAGTTATTACAAATGAGTTATTAAACTATTATGTTTATGTTTAACTATTATGTTTCTCAACATATATATGCCATTTTTGTATGACTTTCTAAGAAACATTTAGTAAAATGTAAATTTATTTTAAAATTGACATTGTCCTTTGCGCCTCAATGTAATTTTTTAAACATTTAATTCAAAACAAAATAAATAATGTTAATTATTTACAATATATAAAAAAACAGCATTTAAATGTCATTCATTTTATCTTTTCATTTGACTTTTTATCAGACTCCTGTTGATCTTGTGAACTGAACAGATGGTTTTGATGGGAGGCTTGTGAAAAGCTTACAACTGTGTTCACCTTGAGAACTTATGTTAGCGTCAATGCCAATAAATGTCAAATTAGGGAGTGAAAGAGGTGCTAATGCTCAATGTTAATAAATAAATAAGTTGTCCGTTATTTAATAAAATTCTGTGATCATTTAAAATTTTATTGCAGTCTAAAAATCTTTTCTATTTGACTTCTTAAACTGAAATATATTCTTCCTCTAAAATAGCAGGTATTTCACACTTATTATTTGGTTATATAACGCTTTACAATTCGGTTCCCTTATTAATGTTTGTTAATGTATATACTAACATGAAAAAAATGTGTTACATTATTTATTGATCTTTGTAAACATTATTTAATGAAAATAAAGTTGTTTATAGTTAGTTCATTTTAACTTATAGTGCATTAACAAATAGTAAAGCAGAACTTACTTGTTCTGTGCTGTACAATTATTGTTAAGAAGTAGTTCAGGTTAATTAATAAACTAACTAATGAAACATTATTGTAAATTGTGACCAATCATTCTAATTTGGTGAACAGTTTAAAATATAATTATTAGTTTTATTTATTATCATCATCATCAATAAATATGCATAACACATTCATGGTAACTGTATTTGGTTTAATTGTGACATTTGTTTGACATGCCATTTAGAAATATTTTGATAGACGTCCAAACTTATTTTGTATTGTAGGAGGTGTGACTGACCCCTCTGTTGCCCTCTGTGTGAAAGTATGTGTGAAATCCCATCTATTGATCAGCCTAATGCAGCAGGAAGAGCCAGCGGCAAGGTGATCAATGCACACTTAATTAACCCTAGTGAGTGGGATTTACAAAGAGTGCTAAACTTTGGTCAGTGGTGTATAAATACAACCAATTCAGCTCAGACTTCATATACAATCATACATTACATCTTTCTGACAATCTGACCGACATAACAGGCTTTTACACACACATAGCTAAGCTGCACACCTTCAAAGCAAACATGACACATCTGAATGATATCTTGGATGGACTCCTAAAACGGTGAGCATACTATGTAAGTGTATGTTAATATAAAAACCTTAGGATAAGTGTGTTTGTGTGTGTGTGTGTGTGTGTGTGTGTAGGAAGTGTTTTTTTATTGTATAACTTTTTTTTGTTGTTGTAACTTTGGCTCATACTGTGGAGGCAAAATTATCAACTAGGCTAAAACTTGATGTGTGTAAGCATGATTATATCATCATATAGTATAATTCTAATTTAAAAACATAATATACTGTTATGTAAGTATTGTAAAAAAAGTTCTAGGTATAAAGGCAGAGTCTAATTTTATTTAAAAATGCACAGGATATAGAGCCATCAACTGACAATTTTAAATTAAACAATAATGCATGCAATTATTTAAGCCCCTTAATCTTTTCTGGAAAAAAAATGACATAATTTGCAATAGCTCTGTATACAAACAAAAAAGTCAGTTTTGTTTCTTTCTTATATTTATTGTATACTATCTTAAATGCTGTTTTATGTGCTTTCAGACTTTGTAGAAGCTGATGGTGGAGTTTCAGATATGTTACAGACTATGTGATATGTTTGATATTCGGTTGCTTTCTTTATATCATGTCAACTAAATATCAGACATATTCCTATAGACTGTGACACAAATCTTCACATCTGTGGCCTCTCTTGCTTCATCATGTTGGTTCATCAGGTTTTTATTTATTTATTTATATTTTTAGAATACATTTCTTGATTGTTTCGTTTATGTTTTCTTGTATTCTAGCTAGAAAACTCTATGTTGTACATTGTTTGAACACTGATATCTTAAATAGTGAAATGAAATACATTTTTTAACAATGCCTTTACAGTATTTTACTTGCTGTTTCTTTGTAGTTTTTTTCTTTTGTGAAATTTACTAGCAGTTTTTTATACAAAGGTTTCTAGTTGAAATGTTTTTCCATTGTAATTTATTATTCAAACTGTATTATGAGTATTATGTATGATACCTGAACAATTATGTCCCTCCGAGTCCAATGCAATGTAAATTATAATAAAACAGACATTTCAGTAGTTTCTTTTTTTGCTGTCAATTTACTAATCTAACAGAACTGAATCTAGAGTTACACCAGCATTCTGCTAAATATATACCACAAATGGAAATATTGGATTTTTATCATTTTTCTGTTTATTCAAGATTTTTATCATTTTCCTGTTCATTCATGTAAAGCCATCTTGACAATGTATATTGTATAAAGGACTATAGAAATGTGACTTGACTCCCCCTGCCTAATTTGCTTGAATATTGGAAGTTTCTGAAGGTATGATCAATGCCAATAAAGAATGTTTATTTTTAGGCCTTTATTGTAGTATAAGCCCTAAACAACCAGTCTTGAAGTTGATGCCCTAACACCATTTAACTATTTCTATATCTGCTTTTTAAGTGTGACGCCACGTCAAACTGCCAAATTTTATATTCACAAAAGCAAGTTTTGTAAGTGTAAACCTTTTTGTCCTAAATTTAAAATTAAAATTAAAATATATTTAGAATGTTTTGAGGGATCAACAAACTTAAAAGCAATACAAACAACAACTTTGATAAAGGACTTGGCAATTATCTGGTACTAAATGATTGAATACTCCTGTATTGTTGTTTTTTGATTTATGACTTTTTTTGTTAATGTTTTACAAGCATTCAATAAAAATAAAAAGATAAAGAAATAAGAGAGCTCTGTCAAACTGCATGGGAGACTCATCAAATGGTAATGATAAACGTTTTCAATGCACTGTAATACTTATGAAAATCCCGATCGCAATATATATATATATATATATATATATATATATATATATATATATATATATATATATATATATATATATATATATATATATATATATATATATATATACAGGGTGGGCCATTTATATGGATAAACCTTAAAATAGGAATCGGAATGGGAATATTAACAACCTGTTTTGGCACATTAGTATATGTGTGGGGGCAAACTGTTCAGGATGGGTGGTGACCATGTTGGCCATTTTGAAGTTGGCCATCTTGGATCCAACTTTTGTTTTTTAATAGAAGGAGGGTTATTTGACACATCAAACTAGAAATGCTCGGACCTGACACCCATAATGTGGTGGTGCACCATCTTGCTAGAAAAACTCAGCTTCAGTGCATAAAGAGGGAAACACATCATCATGTAGCAATTTCAAATATCCAGTGGCCTTGAGGTTTCCATTGATGAAGAATGGCCCCACTATCTTTGATGTCTATGGTGTGAAGATACAAGATGTGCAGCACTTGAAACTACGGATACTGGAAGCCTATGCTGGCATTTCTTCTGCTGTGTTGCTATCCGTGTGTGAAGAATGGGAGAAGAGGGTTGCATTGACAATCCAACACAATGGGCTGTACATTAAACACATTTTATAAGTTGTCAAAAACTTGTAAATAACTCATGAAAGAATAAAGTTACGTTAAAACCAAGCGCACCATTTTTTTTTCTTTTTATGAAATTCCAAATAAGTTTGATGTGTCAAATGACCCCCTTTTATATTTATGATGCACCAAGCCCAGAGACTGATGTGTACGCTATGATTTCATAAAAAATTCACTTTAAAGTGTGATAAGACTAAAAAGTGGCGAAACAGTAAAAAGTATTCCATACGTCACCGACATGTCACGACTTAACAAGTGGATAACTAGTCATAGACTGCATCTGTCAGCTGCTAAAGATGCATTTATTTCAGATTTCATTCGTCAACAAAGTATTAAATTAAATAAAACATGTGGCAGTTGCTGGAATATGTATAAGCAAAAACAATTGCATTAAAGCAGATTTGTTCAGTAGTATATTGCATGGTTATTACATCACCTCTTAAGGGCTATTAAACTTCAAGATGTTATTTCTGAATAAAAGGACAATAAGATGAACAAAAATTTGATAGTATGATTTTTTAATTAAAGTAAAAATAAATAATAATTAAAGTAAAAATAAATAATTAACGACAACTAAAGAGACTATAAACAAAGAAATGTGTTTGATCTTTTTCTTGTTATGTTCAATTTGATTGCAAACCAGTTTCATTTAAAATAATGATTTATTACTGTTATTAATGTTAAAATATCAATGTTACTACATTAAAATATAATTACTAATAAGTATAGTTACATTTGTATAATTACATTTTCCATAAAATACACTAATAAGATTTCTATGGCAACCAATTAAATGAATTTTCTTTTAATTTCCCAGCAATCACCTTGAATGTAATATGCACAAAAATAATAAATAATAGGCAAGTGCCCAAAAAGAAATAAAGAAAACATTGGCTTAGAAATTAAATTTACATTGTACTATGACATAAAAATCATATGTGACATGATAGAGTTGTTGGTCAACTCATAGGCACAAACTAATACACAAAAAAGACAAAAAAAAAATGCTTAATAATATTCCATTTTCATTAAAACAGTCTATTCAGGGCTATTCAACTTTATTTCTGGATCAATGTGCAAAATATTAGGTAAATAAAGAAATGTTTGTTCACTTATATTTATTGTTGTTAAACTTCCCCCTAGCAGGAAGCACAGGGAAAGATAAGACATTTATTTGCTTTAATCAAGTCTTTAATTTTCTTTTTAGCACTTACACACTTAGAAAAAAGAAAACATGTTGTTATTTATGCTGACTATTCAAAAAAATAAATGAAATATTTATCTAAAATTTAATATGATTTTAATAATTATTAAAACCGATTTACATGAACAAACACTTCTACAGCATTCACAAAGATTGTTAATAATAAATTTGATCTTAGTGTGAACATTTCATAGACTTTCATTGTTTTGTTTTCTATGGTCTACCCCTAAACCTAAAAATAACATCACAGAAACCTTTGCAAAACTATATTAAACAAAACAATATCCAAAATCTAAAAACAGAGAAAGTTTTATAGTGACCCACTGTGATTTTCTGTAAAAAACAAATCTCTAATAATGATAATACATAAAATTGTGAAGAGGTTATCAAAATTCTACACATTACTATATAACTAATGGAAAACTCAGAGAGCAAACAATAACCTGTTATAAATAAGTTATTTTTCCAGAAGAAAATAAATAAATATGTATAAACAGGGTGGATGTTTGTAGATGGGTTCAAAGGTTCCTTTTGTTCAAAAACTGCTGATTGCAGCCTGTATGCTGATCATCATCCCTTTAACTCTGTCACTGACCAGAGAGGTAGAGAGTGTACATTTATCACCCAAAGTACCAATTATTGTGTAAATGCATTTGGTTTAAATTAAATATGCTCTTCTTTAATAATGCATGCAATGTATAAATACGTGAATTATTATACTTATTAGACTATTATTTTAGGCACCAGTGAATATCAAGGACAGAGCTTTGGTATTGGTGAAAGCTGGGTTACAAAAGACTGCCATGAATGTGTGTATAGAGCCCTTTGGGGTTGGCTGCTGCAATCAGTAAGAAATGTGTATTCTTTAGAATGTTTTAAGAATTTTTATGGCCTGTCAAGTGTTCATGAAGCACAGTTAAACTGCACATTTTCAAATGTAGATTTCTCAGATTGGTGTGAGGTCAACTGAAAGCCAGACTTCTGCACCAGTGTGGCTATGATGAGAGTCAATCATAAACATCCTTGTCTTTACGACAAATGGAGCAGGATGCAAAGCGATATTGGGGTTTGACAAAGAATTGCTGCTCTAAATAACATTTTAAACTTGACCAACATAAGGGTTGTTCCATTTATTTTTGGGGGAATTGAAAAGAATGTAATATTATGATATTATGTCCATCAACAGTAACAATTTAGTGTTCAAAACCTTAAGTCTGTGTCAATAATGAGTGTCAATAATATTACTACAACTTGATCTGTTCAAATAAAAGTTGCTATGCCAGTTCTTTGAGATATTCCTGGCTGTGAGCAGAACTCATGCCTTTTAGTCCAGGGGTGCTCAACCCTTTTCCTGAAGATCTAACTTCCTGCAGATTTCAGCTCCAACCTTGACAATCACACCTGAGCTAATTAATTTGGACCTGAACAGCCCTTGATAATTACAGGCATGGGTTGCAACTGATATAGGTTGCAACTTTAATCTGTAGGTAGGTAGATCTCCATGAATAGGGTAGGTTACCCCTATTTTAGCCAATAAGATGAGCGCTCTGCGAGAGCTGTAATGGGGTATATGCACAAGGACTTTTAGGGCTTACTCACACTATGCTATATAAACCGTGCCGGGGCACTTTTCCCAGTTCGTTTGAAAAGTGTGAGTGCTCTGAATTGGGCTCAGGCATGATTCAGTTGGCCGAGCCTGGACCGGTTGGAAGATATGTGCCAGAGTGCGGTTTGGTTGGCCTTTGGTGCGGTACACTTGAAGTGCGAGTCAGAGCGCCTGAGCCAAAAACTGAAGACACAACATCACTTTTAAGTGGCCGTTTCATATGGATTTATTAATCATTCTTAAACAAAAACTCTTCACTGGACGACAGCTGCACCTTCAGCTAACGTATGATGATTAAGTACACCCTTAATTTCAGTCAGCCAGCCCCAGGCTTCCAGTGAAATGTCATCCCATACAAAATCACTGCTCTAATAACATGTCTTCCAACGCATCATCAAAGAAAGGAGCT